TTCCCTGGCAACGCTGGCTTCCCTGGCAACGCTGGCTTCCCTGGCAACGCCGGCTTCGCGGGGGGTGGGGGGGCTCCCACCAAGGGCCGGGTTCTGCCTGGAAATGCAAAGGCCTGGCCCGGAACTCGGTACATTGTGTTGTCTAACTGTGCCTTCTTAAATCTTCTTATACCGAGTTTGCTTAGGATTTTTACATGGAATTCCTTTTCGGTCTTATTACAGATTTCGTACTCTAAGGTACCTGATACTTCAGAGTTATGGTATTCCTTAGTGGACTCATATTTTCTATCATTATTTTTTTATTTATTTATTTTTTTTTTGGTATTTGTAGTATGTCTATATTGTTGTCTGGTCATCTTGCTTCTTGTACTGCTTTATTACTCTCCTTCCCTGGACTTTACTTCTGACCTTCGTAGGGTCAATGCCGTTGAGTTGTTGGCAGTCCACCTGCACAGCAGTAGTGGTTGCTGTGGCTGCTGCTGTAATAGTAGACTTCCCTTGTGATGGCAGTGGCTGTGTTCATGACTTTTGTGGGCTGCCTATGTGGCAGCAGTGGCTCCAGTGGTGGCAGGCTGCATGAAGGTGGTGCCTGCATTGCAGCATTGGTGCTAGCGACTGTAGAAATGGTGGTTGCGGCAGTTGCCCAATTGACTGTGTTATCCACAGCAGTGGCTTGAGCAGCTATAGTGTCTGCAGTGCAGCGAGGTTACCTGTTGGTGGCTCTAAGGGCATCCTTCATAGATGTGGTACCTGTGCAGTAGACAATGCCTCTGGTGACTGTGGCAGTGGTGGCAGAGTGCCCCTTTTTAATCTTCTTCTGTGGGAGGAATGCTTCATGGGCACCTCTACTCTGCCATCTTACTGAAAGTCTCTGTCAACCAGGTTTTCTTTTTTGTTGTTGTTGTTTCTTGTTTTTTTTGTTTGTTTGTTTTTGTGACTGGTAGGGGGATTGCAATCCTTGGCTTGGTGTCGTCCGCACAGCGCTCAGCCAGTGAGCGCACCGGAAATCACTCATCACTATATAGGATCTGAACCCACGGCCTCGGCGCTCCCAGCGCCACTGCTCTCCCAGCGTAGCACTCTCTCGACTGAGCCACAGCCAGCCCTCAAGCTGGTTTTCTAGAGGAAGTAACATGTGTTTAAAAACTGAGCACGGGCTGACCCCGTGGCTCACTCAGGAGAGTGCATCACTCCCACCGTGTGTTCAGATCATATATAGGGATGGCAGGTGCACTCACTGGCAGAGTGAGGTGCCGGCAACACCAAGCCAAGGGTTATGATCCCCTTACCGGTCACAAAAAAACCCAAAAAACCAAAAACCAAAACAAAAAACAAAACAAAAAATACTGAGTACTCGGCCGGCCCTGTGGCTCATTCAGGAGAGTGTGGCGCTAGTAACGCCGAGGCCACGGGTTCGGATCTTGTATACAAATGGCCCGTGCGCTCACTGGCTGAGCGTTGTGAGGACCAGACCATGCTGAGGGTTGTGCCGTGAGAACCATACCGTGCTGAGGGTTGCGATCCCCTTACCGGTCAGAAAAAAACAAACAAAAACAGAAACTGAGCACTCAGGCTGGCCCCGTGGCTCATTCGGGAGAGTGCGGTGCTAGTAATGCCAAGGCCGCAGGTTCGGATCCTATATACAAATGGCCCGTGCACTCACTGGCTGAGCGCCGTGAGGACCATACTGTGCTGAGGGTTGCGATCCCTTTACCCGACAGAGGAAAAAACAACAACAACTGAGCACTCAAGTAATTCACAACAAGGCTCAGAAAAATTATACAGTAAATAGATTGCAGGCTATGATCCATAGCAGTGGAGATCCAGAGAAATCACATACCTCATGCATGACGTCTAGATTTAGCATCATACTTTTTCTAATTCCTGTCCTAAACACTTTAAATTCTTTCATTGACATGACAACATCTCTTTAAGAGTGAAATTTGTCTGGCCTTCCTTGAGAGCACTGGCTGAGCGCCGTGAGGACCATACTGTGCTGAGGGTTGCGA